TTTTTTAGATTTTTGTTTGAGCTGACATTTCTTTTATTTTATTTTTTTTTGGGTTATCATTTGCCGAAAATCTTAGGTGCATGGGCTTTGAGGAGAAAATCATCCGTCATTAAATGAGTATTAACAAAAACAAAATATTTCAAAAATTAAAACTAAAATAATAATTAAGCACTTGCTCCGGCAAGAAAAATAGGGTTTAATGTCACATTCGTTAATTTTTATACCAATTTGTTACTGTTTGTTAACTTTTATACCAATTTGTCGCCGGTGCTAATTTTTATACCAATATGTCACCAAGGTGCTAACTTTTATACCAATGTGGTCAGGCCCCAATTATCTCTGATCTAGTATTGGCATAAGCACATTTAATTAGTTTATTAGGTCATCTACTGGGGAATTTACAGAAATATATCATGTATCACTCATATTTGGATGCCGCTTAATCTCGGATTGGGAGACTTCTCACACATATTATCAAAATCAAAATCAAGTCTAAACAATGAAAACATGATTGTATATAAGAATAAATAAGAGAGAATTTAGAACAATACCGAAACTATGAGCAAAGTCGAGGAATTAATATAGAAAAGAAAGGTTCAAACTTCGATTGATTAATTTAAGTAATGAAGAGAGAAAACTAGGGTTCTGAGCAATTTACAAAACTAATAAGTCTTAGTGTGCTTTATTCAGGCTTTAGAAAAAGTACTTATAGCTCAAATCTTAAAAATCCGAAGATAGAAAAAATTGCCTCCATGAAGCTTTGTCCGATTAATCGGCGCGCCGAAAAATTGGAAAAATTTCCCCTCCCTGCCTTTCTATTCTATAAAGGTAGTTTTGTAACCAACCTCATCCGGTTGGGCATGTGAAGGAAAATGGGAAACCTTTCTTTGTAAAATTGTTGCACTGAAAAAACTAGCTCAGTTCGGTCTTCCAGGAAAACCCACCAGGTCGGCCGCGCGTGTGGTGTGCCAAATTCTTTATGTGCTGCACGCCTGCACCCCTTTGTACTTTACCTGGTCTTACCGGGCAATTCTGCCTACTTGGGCAATGGGGGTGGAAAAGTTGTGCAATCCCACTCTTCTTTGTCCGGTGTAGTCGGGCAACTCCGTCTGGTTTGGCAAATCTAGAAACTTCATTCAATAATCTCTGTCCTCCTTTTAAAGTAAAAAGCATCTTAAAACTTTTGGATTCCTACAAAACTCAAATAAAATTTCAAACCATACTAGAGAAGAGATTATTAGTAGAAATTGGCTCTAAAAAGCTCAAATGTGCAAGTGATTAGCTAAGAAACAGGGATAATACATAGTGTATATAAAAGACACCTCAATTTTAATGAATCAATTTTGCATGAAGGGGTTATAATATAGTAATAAAAGTTTATGAAGAAAAATCAAAATTTTGGGGTAGACAAGCATTACTATGGACATTGCCATTCAACTCTCTTTACTGTATGAGTACTTCCACTTTCATATACGAAGTATTTACCAAATGGGCTGTGAAAGTAATGGTGATCAAAATATATATGACAAATATGAAAAAGATCTAAAGAAGTTTGAATAAATGTGTCTTTATGTGTAGCTTTCCTCCTATAAACTCAAGATGTTAGTTCATATTGTTTTCAGTTCAAACTTTCTATTTCTATATTATGGTTTAGAATTATTAGTCGAATTTGTCAGAGTGGTAAAGCTAGTTAAACTTTTGTCTAAGTTGAGATGGAACAATATTTAGTATGTGAACCTGAAGATGCCAATACAGCAATAATACTCAACTCAGCTCGTTTGTACTCTTACTGAGTACTGACGAACTTTCTTTCGCTGTAATCATCAACCCGGTGATTATAAATGTGTGGTATTACAACCTACAAGATGTCTGTATACTTTTGACGACTCATATCCTAACCTGGATAACAGCAATCTTACTGATTCTTGATTGTAAGGGTTCTTAAAACTTGATCACGAGTCATATAGTTGAGAGAAGAATACTTACGCAAATGATAAGATGCTGGCAGGAGATTTGGTGTTTTTTGTTTTGCAATGTTTATGAAATACAGCAAGCAATCTACATGTATTTAGTTGCTGATGGATTTTGGTGGTATATGCTCTCTATAGATGCAGAATTTGATGTCTTGTCACATTCTTTGCTTGTAGATTCTTATCTGGAGTTGCTCATTCTTTCACTGGAAGTGCAGAAGATCGTGATAAACTACTTTCTTTCAGTAATTTGTACATTGGTGAATACACTAACTTCCAGAGCCAAGCTTCTATTATGTTTCATTTTCTGGGTTTTATACATTAATAGAGCAAACTTCTAGATTTGATCAATAGTATATTAATACACAGTGAGAAAAGTAATTGATAATTGACGATTTGACATACATTGCAATTATTGACCAATTTGGAAAATTAAGGCATGGCAGTTTATATTTTATTTCTTTTGGGCCTTTCCAGTAAATCCTGTACACTCATGCACATTCTAGTTTCCTGAAGAATATTAATTGACTCTTGATAACTCAAGGGGTAGCCTGTTGGGGAATGGGAGGGTAATTGATAAGGCCTCTACTACTTCTATACCTAACTGACTCTCAACTACAGAAACACTAAGTAGGCTAACCCACAAGACCATATGCATTATTACACTTACCATTTCCTATACAGTGAAGGATGCTGTATCGTTTCTCTTGTATTATCCACTTTGCTTTCCCAAAGTTCCATATCTAGTTTTCTTTTTCCATTGTTTGTGTTTGAAATCCGAAATCCATTTCCTGTTACTATCTTCATGTGATGTGGTTGAAGTTGCTTAATATTTAGTTGGTATAGTTAATCTTTAAGCTTTGGAAATTATTGTAAATATTGCTTAATAATTCAAAAGTTGTTTATATGAAAGTCAGACTACACTAATAAATTTTGTCAGTTCTTCCATGCATGACTGTTTGCTTCAAGCAATATCAAAACCCTTGACCTGTGATTCTTCACTTTTGACATTTACAAACAGGGGTCAATGGTTGCTCACTAAAGACAGCTGAGAATCTGGAGGTAGTGAAGGGAATACCTGTTGAGAGAATGATGATTGAGACTGACTCGCCATACTGTGATATTAAGAACACTCATGCAGGAATTAAAATGGTTAAGTCGACATGGCCATCGAAAAAGAAAGAGAAATATGATTCGGAGTGCCTTGTCAAAGGGCGAAATGAACCCTGCTTGGTTCGGTTAGTGTAATTCAATTCTTAAGTTACCATTTCATGTGGTCGTGCTGCCTTTTACTTTGAGTGATTTATGTTCATCATGTTGCATTTGTTACAAGCATTCAATATCCTTTTATTCAGTGTCTCATTTTTATTTTTTTATGCACCTCTTTTCAATTGCTCTCAAGCAACACTTGCTTTAGACTGGTTTGTACAATGTAATGATGTAGTGCTGTTGATACATTATTGTCGTGCAGTTTTTTGTTTTCTTAATCATAGGTGTTTTGTAAGATAAAATTGTGGAGATAAACAGTATATGTCCTGACTCATTATTAGCTAATTGTAGATGTATCATTATCATCTTCGGATGATGTTGCAAATATGATCTAGCTGCCAATCGCAAATTAGGAAAGAGTGTTGGTTGTATTGTTAGATTATCATGTAAATCCTAGCTTGTGGTGTAAACATGTTTCTAGTGTTAGAATTTTCTTTTCTATTATCACTCACAAGAAAATTTATCTAAAGCAGCATATAGCATTAGTTTACTGCTGATTCAGTGTCCAGCATGCTGCTTCTATATTTTATATTATTATTTGTCCGGTTGCTTTCTATGCATCTTGGAACCACCATAGCTTTCAAGTTTGTTATATGTGATTCTTTTTAGCACCCTTCGTCGAGTGAGTTCTGTAGAATTTATGTTTGAATTCCCAGAGGCTGTTTAAGCATCAGTTTCTGGGACTCTTCTTGTACTCTGTACTTATGATGGGTCATATTTTTGAAATCATTCTTTGTTGCTTATGATCATTGTTCTTTCTTGTGGCTTTTTCTTGATATTGTTGTCGGTCTATAAGTGTGATCCACCTGTATTGTAGGCAAGTCCTCGAGGTGGTTGCTGGTTGCAAGGGTATTGCCGACATAAATCAGCTGAGTCAGAATGTGTACCACAACACTTGCAGGTAAATATTGTGGGCGTTGAAATATATATTTGCGCTTCCTTTATGGAAACAATTTAAATTAACACTATCTTGCATTCAAGGGTAAATCTATCAACTTCCATAAGACCATATGCATTATTACACTTATAACAGCACGGATGCCCTACTTGTAGATGCATTATAGTATTATACTGTAGTCCTAAATCTGCTCTGTTGTATGGTACAGGGTCTTTTTTCCTCATGATTTAGACTCTGCTGCTGATGCCCTACTCACTGGTAAGGAGAGCCAGTGAAGAACCTCAATCGACCCACTTAACATACCAAGTGACATGTGGGCATCGGGGATTAACCTTCTTGCCGCAAATGAAGAAGCATGATTGGCTTATGACTGAAGATTTCACACCAAGAATCAAACTCTGGGACTTATTGCTTAAGTAGTGAAACCAAGTTTTTATTTTGATGTTCATATTGGATTTGGAAGTTAAAAGTCCTTTGTTGTTAAACGCTCCAATATATCTTTTTATTTGCAATAAATTTGGAAAACGAATCAGCATTTTGCCATGCATAAAGAATTTGTATTATGCTGTAAAAACAAGGGCTCTGTGGAGTTGCACATTCAGAATTATGATGAAGCTTAATCAGATAACAGTAAACTGGATACACATTAATCTTGAGAATTTGAATTATACAAAGTACAATAAGTATTACACGAAAAAATTTAGCTGCATTTACACCTTAGAGCCATACTCTACGCATACAAGAATATATGAACTACAACTTAATGTGATCAAAATGGAAGAAGCCTGATTGATTAATTTCTCTAGAAATGATTCCTCTTTATCATTGTGGTAAATCAGTCAAATAGCATTTCAGCATTACTATATTTTCAAGGGATAACAGATGAAACTTATGCACTCTGCTCAGCATAAGCTTCAGTATTAGAGCGAGCTCTGTCAGATGCCATATTCAATCGTAAAGGTCGTCCTTCCAGTTCCTAGAGCAAAAAAGCTTAATAAGTTGTACGTTTCAAATTCATGATATTAATATCAAGGATCCGAAAAGCAAATTTTCAGAGTTCTTACCACTCCATTCATAGTAGTGAGAGCAGACTCTGCAGCGTCAGCAGTTGAGAAAGTGATAAAACCAAAACCTCGAGATCTTCCACTTGCTCTCTCATATATCACCTTAGCACTCAGAAAACCTTCTTGGTTTGCAAAGGCTTCTCGGAGTCCTTGTGATGTGATGCCCCATCCGAGATTACCAGCATAGAGCTTGTGAGGAGTATCCACATAACCTACATTGCTGCTTTGAAGTTTTGGCCCCATTACTTTCCTCTCACCACCTCTTGGCACTTCTGGAAAGTTCACCCTCACAGTTCGGCCTCCAACTTGCTGCCAATTATTTCTCAATTACTAAGCGGGAAATTTAATCACATATGTAGATTGTCATTCATTTTGTAATGCCATTAAAACAAGGCACAGCTCACTTGACCGAAGCCTTAGTACAGCATACTGAATTGATGATTGGACTAATCTCATTTTTCGTCAACTTAGCATCTGCAAAACTAGTTTTGCTACCTTAGTCAATACCACCCAGCCAATGCTTTAGTTCATCAGCTATGTTTCAGAAGTTCTCGGCCAACATTAAGATCGTTGTACACAACAGAAGAGGTTCCGATACTCATGAAGACCAAGAGGAAGCCACAGTTGGCTTAACTTAAGTGAAGGTCCTCGGTCAGTCTCCAGTCTCACCTAAATCAGTTATAATTGTTTCTAAATCAGCACTATCAATTTATATTTCTAAATCATCAAGCACTTTATCATCAGTTCTTGAAAACAAACGAACCTCACAAAGATATATAATGTACTACTCTGGATAGCCAGTTTGCCATGTCTCAAATATTCATTCTGAATATGCGGACCTTCAATTACGACAATATGTTTTACAGCAACGTTAGTGTTCCCCAGGCTCTAGAACATAGACCGCGAGAACAGGTGTGAATCCAAGGATTGATTGGACATCCTAATATCCTTAGACTAATTCGAAGACTAGTTCAAAGTTAAGCCTTCTAGTGAAGTAGTTCAACAATTATTCAGTCAAATACATATTCTCCCGAGTGGCTTCAAATAAAAATAAAAAACATGTTCTCCCGAGTGTATAATATAAATTGCGAGAAACTTTGAGTTCTATAAACTCTATAAGCAAGCTAATTAACAGACAGAAACTTGCAAAATATAGGCGACACAAAAGAGAACATATAGAGGAACTTACAGAACCATCAAACATTCGAATGGCCTCTTTTGCCTCGTCAACACTTCCCATGGTTACGAATCCAAACCCTCTGCTCCTATCAGTTACCTTATCATATATTATCTGCAATTTGTACAAAGAAAAAACTTCAGAAATTTTATAAAAATACTCCATAAATAAATAAATAATTAGGAAAAGTATTTACCTCAATGAACCGTACTTGACCAGCTTCAGCAAAAACTTCAGACAATTGATCAGAAGTCATAGAATAAGGCAAATTTCCAACAAATAACCTGCAATCATCAACTGAATCAACCCCTTTATTTTCTGTATCTATAATTTCTTCTAATTCATCTCGCTCTTGAATTTGTTGTAGTTCTTGTTCTTGCTCTTGCTCTACCCCAATTGAGTTCTCTTCCGATCCATCGGTTATCGAGTCTTCGGTATCGTTGAAAGCGGAGGAAGAGTGGCAGAGGTGGAGACGGAAGAGAAGTGGGAGAGGAGATGGAGTGAAATTCTGGGATTTAAGAGTGAGGGTTTTGTGGAAGGGTTTTGGTTTAGGTGAGAAATAGGTGAAGGAGTTTTCAGAAGGGATGAAAGAGAGAGAAGAAGAGGAGGTTACAGGTGTAACAATGGTGGAAAGAGATGCTGCTGCCGCCATTGCTATGCAGGGGAAGTAGCTTGGGAAATTGGGTGTGCCTGTTGGTTGTAATTGTTTCCCTCCCAACTTTTGTTTTGTTTATGGATAAGGTTGTTGATATATGCTCTTTATTTCCAATTGCTCCCTGTTACTAATTATTTGCTCCATTTTACATATGGAGATGTCTGTTAAAGATTGTCTCATATGACGATAGTATAAATGTCATTGGACTTATGAGATCATAACTTTAATACTCCGTAAAAATTTGTTTAGGTCTCACAAATTTTGTTTTTTTTTTTTTCAATTCCACTCAACTAAAATTTGACAAAGTAAAATATAAATATGGAGCAAATAATTAGGAATTGAATCACTACCATGGAGTTAATTTGATTACAAATAAGTGAAATAACTCCATATAATGATTTGTAGACCCTGAAACTTAAAAACTAACGTGAATCATCTAATCCAATTTCAAATACTCAACAAGAAATTTGAAATTACCTAATCCGATTTAACTTGAGTTGATCCAATTCAATTTAATATAAATTTTTTTTAATAATAATTGGTTTTATAAATTATAAGCGTATTGGCAATTAAATTGAAAATTACCCAAACCAACCGGAACTGAACGAGTCTAATTAGAAAATGACAACTCAGTTTTCATCTCTAATTTTACTCCCTAGTATGTAATTCGATCATTCGATATCTATCATTGCTACAGTCAGTATTATCTTGGTCAGTTTGGGCCATTGCTAATAAAAAAATTAAACTGAGTATTGGTGGGGTGCGCCAGGCCCGTGAAGTAGTGTAACGCATGGGCGACGCTTGAAGACCCCAATAGCAAGCTACTGTGGTTGATCTTCCCCCTTAAAAAATAAATTTAATATCGTTGTAGGCCATTGGCCCACGTATCAGATATTAAACTGATAAGAACAGATACTACACTTGATCTTAGCCAAAAGGCCGAGAAAGGTATGCTTTATTCATTGGAAAATTAGTGAAAATTAGTGGATTATGTGAAAATTAAATCAACATATAGCATACAGTACTAGGTAGGCATACTTTGAAATGAAAATTAGTGATGTTTGCTTGATCAAGTAAGGAAAACTACTAAACAAAGGATAGTTGTTTGTATAAAGTTGAACACGCCCTGATATAAGTGGCCAAAAAAAAAATGTTGAGAACGTAAGGAATTACGAAGTACATAATTGAATGACAGTTTAAAAAGAACTCTATTACTTACGTAGTATTGCTGTATTAGAACTTCACAAATACTCCGTAACTATCATACATTTCAGATTCCCGTCAAATAAGCAAAAAAAATTTGAAAATACATTAAATTCCCTCATCTCTCATTACAAGTTCATAACAATAGAAGCACCACATTTTGTGCACCGTCCATAGTTACATAACCAATTCTGCAATGCAGAACTCAGATAGAATTGACCGAGTCACCATCACTGCTATCACTTTCACTGCTGCTACTGCCGCTACCACTTCCACTGCTGCTACCGCTACTATCACTCCCACTGCTGCCACTTGAGCTGGACGTGTGGTCTACCCCTTCCACTGCATTTACCTGGGCTCTTAAGGCCGCAGCAGCATCTACCCCATCATCATCATTAACGTCCACATCAGCAATCTCGACATCCATGTCATTTTGCTGCGGGATGTTGATATCAATGCCAGTATGGGGTACTGCTTTTTCTTCAGCACTATCTTTGACAGGCCCCAATGCATCATCATCGTCATCATCATTCATTATGTCTAAATGCTCTTCCAAATCAAAGTCCTTTGAGTCCGGTGATGCCATAACATTTGATTGTTGAGGGGTAGTGGCTGACTTGTCAACACCAGGTTTTACTCCTACAGCAAGACACCAGAAAATAGATATGATTGGACATTGGCAAAAATGTAGCATACACATGTACTGTCCCAATGCACAGAAAAGTGAAGCTGGGAAAAGCCTGCAATGCATCTTAAATTTGATACCCTAATTTCAGTTTGTAAAATACTCGTAGAGAGAGAGAGAGAGAGAGAGAGAGAGAGTATTTCTTCTTACCTGAATTTCCAGCATCACCAATATCGATTCGCTCAACTTCAACCTGGAGCATTGATAGACAAACACAGAAAAGAGGAAATCAGGACCTCCAACTCTCCAAGGCATTCATAAATGCAGAATGATGAACACTTGAATCTTTTTTGTGAAATTTTAAATAAATGCAGATAATATAAAAACACTTCGTATTAGTATGCAAGAATAATTTTATGAACTCTTGGTAATCTTCAAGCAGAGCCTATCTTTGCAGAGACATTACCAAATATCAGGAGCTTATGACCCTAGACATAAAAACAGTTATGTAGTTCACTATGGCCACTACAGCAGCAAACTCCTTTTCACAATGCAGCCAAAAGAACACCCACTAAATCAATGACTCCCAAAAGCTTGATCCTCAGGCCTTAGTCCCCATCTCCCTTCAATCCTAGCCATGAATGGAAAAGGAAGGTAGACAGCATAATAGCCAACAGACAGAGGAAATGGATCAGGCATGACCTAGAGATGTTATGGCAACATTTCTACAGGCACCAGCCCAATTACCTAAAAGAGGCTCTCACCCACAGGAAAGAATGGAAGGGTGTGAGCAGCATTAATCTAGTGATAACATAGAAGTTCTTTCCCATCAGAAATAATTTTTGATGCACAAGACCGATGATCACAGATACAGAATGGAACTTTTTCCTATACAAGTAGATCAGTATACTTCCTTACTGCTTCTATTCTTCAGGTTCATCTGCCATGGTTGCATCATCTATACTATGTTTTGGTTAATAAAAAAATTGCAGCTTGGTTATGCAGCCTATGTTATATAAGATTTCAGTTCAATGGGGTATTATTGATGATTGATAGGGTAATTCTAGTGTTGTTGAGATTTGTCATACATTAAAGACAAAACTAGCATTTAGTAGTCAATTAATTAGAGAGAAATGAATCAGAGAAATTTTCTTCCCTTATCATGGCCTTCAGGAGAAGGAGGTGTACGGTGGGGGGAGGGGGGGAATATGCTTATATCCTTCCACTTAATCAGTTGATGCATCAAAATTGTGACTATTATTTTTCGGCTTAAGATCTCTTGGAAGAGAAACATTCCACAGCCTTCTTTACATCTATAGCGTCAATACATCTAAGGCTATAGTGGAGAATTTCACTATATGAGAGTAATAAGTTTTGTTCTAAAATGCTTAGGAAATGTGGTAGCTATGAATTAGAATGGTTTATATACACAGTATCCTGGTGAGTAAAAGGATTATGATAGCCTCCTAGGACAATAGTTTGACGAGGACAGAACGATCATACAAGGGCAACAATGTATGACAATTGATAATCCGGAATCCTCCACTGATTCCACTTAACCTTGAGTACTGATTAGTGCCATAGTAATTTAATAATATTTCACCCTCCAGGCCTCTACTGATCAAAGCAAAATTCAGTAATTTTGGCGTATGAATGTCTGGAAGCTACCAATTATACTGATGCATATCCATAGAAATTGATCCTAAGTCCACTTTATACGTTATTACCTTCAGCAACTTATGATCAGCACCAATTCACCAACGGAACACATCAAACGACTACTAATCAATCAACAAATGGCAAGAAGGGTGTTTGAGCTATCAGCATTACTGAACTGGCAAAGTCCCATACAAATTACTCCAAAATGGGAAGAATCAAAACCAGGACCTAATTGAAAGCAAACTTCAAATACATGCCCCAATCAAACATGCTCATAAAGCCTTATGCTTATGATTCAGTGTATAATTCATCCTCTAAATTACTGCAATGGAGCAACTTTTCTTTTATACAATGCAATTATCAATGAAGCATAAATATCCCCCAACAAGCACTACACATACGCCTCCACCATCATAATTATGCTAATTGACAAAATTATCACCACACACAATATAATAATTCAACTATATATTATTTCAAAACATAATTAAGTTGAAAATTTATGTTATGAGACAGAAAACTGACCGCAACAGGCGGTGCCGGAGGCGGCCGAGGAGGCGTAAACGCAGGCCGGCTATTATACGCTTGAGGCTGATGCTGATGCTGAGGCTGCACCTGAGCCTGAGGTTTACCTCCTCTGACTACCGGCGACGAACCACCGTCCGCGGCGGAAGATGCAGCCGACGCCGCGGCGGAGGATTCGCCAGGCAAGCGATTATGGCGCAAACGCTTGACAGCATGGTGAAGGCGTTCAAGGCGGAAACTATGGCCGTCAAAGAGCAAAACGGCGTCGTTTTCCTTGTAATCTTCGCCAGAATTACCTTCGAAGGTAACCTTAGGTTTACCAGGTTGATTGTTGTTAAATTCTACGCTAACTTTGTTGTCCTTCGTCTTGTGCAATGCTCCTGGTTGAGTTTTATCGATCGATGCCGGCTTAAATTCATCTGAAAAATCAAGAAAATGAATTTGATTGAATCAAAATTGGAAAATTAAATTCGAAAAGATGAAATTGCAGGAAAAAGATTGAAGAAGAAGAAGACGATTACAGCGTAAAGTGCAGAATTTGGAAGAAGGTTGATGATCTTTGAAGGTAGAACCTAGGGATAGAGTATACCATTGATCTGGACTTGGTGCTGTGCTTGGTTCTTCTATCTTGTTCATCGACATTGATTTTTAATTCATACAACCAATAATTTTTGCGATTTTATTACAAGTTCTTGATGAATTTATTTGTCTGGGATTTGCAGAAATTGATTGGAGTGAATATAGTGCTGAGTTGCTAAAAAATTCAGTCGTGTATACTGCTATGCTACACGAATGTATTTTGATTTCGCTTAGAAAGCGGTTTCGAGTTAGGTCAGGTCGTACTCGTATGTATCATACTTAGTATGAAGTATGTAGTAAGTATATTTATAGGGTGTCTACTCGAATAATTGAATGGAGTCTAGCTTGTTTAGCTCGGTATGTTCGGTCAAGGTTACCCATTCAACCTATCTCGATTTGAGTTGGGTCAATTTTGGGTCAAAATCTATCGAGTTTGGGTCGTGTTTGGATCACGACAACTTCAGATCGGTTCATATTCAATTCGGATAAATCCATATTAGGTCCAAAACGGATTTAATTGGGTTAATTTCGGGTAGGATGACCTTGGGTTGGTTTGATTCTGGTTTGGTTGATTTCGGTTCGATTAAGTTCAGTCTAATTTGATTAGGGGTTGATTCAGTTTTAGATCAATTCTCATTCAAATCCTCTTCAAATTTGGATGAATTTGGGTCGGGTTGACCAAATTCAATATCTAAAAAAGGTTATTTTTAAACTAAAGTAATTATTGAGTTATTACTTATTCGTTGTCACTATCAGATCATTCATATGTCATTTTTCATATCGTATCATTAACACTTATTAGTTTTCTCATTAGATTAGTTCTTGTTTCAGTTTTATCTTTAGTTCAATACAAATAATAATCTATCAATCTGTCATTACTTATCGTCTCACTTATACAGCATTGATAAGTTATCGATAATTTAATTTTAATTAGGGTTAAAGATAAAATTGATACAAGAACTAATCTAACGAGAAAATTAATAAGTGTTTTGATCATGTCAACATCAGATCAAGTGCCCACTCAGGGTCGTATAAATTTATACTTCGTATTATCTTTGCATTGGAAATTTATAAACTTTTTTTTTTTTTCCTAATGAGTGGGCACTTGTTAAACTTCATTTTTACTCTAAAGAATGAAAGAAAAAGAGGGAAAATATAAGCAAAATCAATTCTTGAATTGATCAAAGATGTAATTTGAATTGTAATCCAAAAGGTTAAATTAGGTTTCTCTGGATACTCTAGGAAATGCTAGAATTCTGAAATTCAATAGAAAACTACCCCAATAGATGATATTTGACCTAAAATTTAAGTCAACATTACTACTAGTAGTTACTAGGATGCCCAAATCGGCAAATCCTTTGTTAGGGTGTTTGATTATTGCTTTATTTTTCCTTCCATATTAATTTTTGTTGTCTTTTATACTACATGACAATGCATATTACAAATTGCTTTACTAAAGATTTACATTACAAATTTCTTGGGTAACTAAAAATTTACAGTATGCAATAGGGTTAAAACAAAACACATATCAAAGTTTTTTGGTTGTTTTGGAAACCTTTGGTGATTCGCACAAATTGATGCTGCGGTGCCCAAAACGTGTTTTATATAAAGGACATAAAATAAATCAAGCAGTATGCTTGGTACTCCGTAATATCGATCTAAGTTGCGTACATTGCAGGATTCAGTGCCAAGTAGGTCCATCATCACATAGTGATATTGTCTAAACGAGCCTTAAATTATGAGCGGTAGCTGTTTGGCGAAAAATCAATATTACACATATGACATATCAGTACATATTACTTGTACAACATAACAACGTACCAAAAAAAGTCATTTTTAAGAAGTAACTTAGGCCAAGAATCAAGATCTTATACCAAAAGTCAATATTACAAGGCAAAATGATACGCAGAGAACAACTAATTAATCACATTAACTCAATTTCAATATACACTGTTAATTAAAAAAAACAATTACATACCAAAACATGTTACATATTTCCACACAAGCCTGCTGGAGGATCAAAGGAGAATAAATTGAAGAATCGTGCAATTGCAAAAGCAGAGAAAACCTCCTTAGAACACACAAGTCACAGCAGTATCAGAAGAAGTTGCTGAATTGATCAGTGAGAGACTTCCGTAAATTGGAATACAAGCCAAATAGTGAATATTGCCGTAGGTTCTGCACTTCATACCAAGAATTCAGAACTGAATAATGCTTGTCTGTACCAGAAAAGGCTAATTGTATGCCAAGGCTGCAATCCATAGAGCCACCTCGATTCTTGCAGTCATTCATTCTGATTGCACAATCCACATTGTTCAGGCAGACAAACTTAGACTTGCCTTTACATGATGCACAACCATCCCTTTTCCAAAACAAATTTTGCAGTCGGCCTTGCTTAAATTCTAGAATCTGCTTCGCAAGAGCAATATATATAAGCTTTTAAAGAGGAATAAGAACAGAAAAAGAAAACCATGTGATCTCTGATATCCTTACCAGAGTAAAACTGGTCACTATGTGGGTGCTATTTGCAACAAATGTAGGAGGGGATCTTGCAGCATATTTTGAGCCAGCAAACGCCACCATATAACCACCAGCTGAATCCTGAAAAATCAACATCCCACTAAAGTTTAGGATAGTCCAATTCAGAAACAGATATCTCAATTGGCAAAAGGAAGGAATGAGATCATATATAGATGTAAGACCATTTTGCTTAACATTTCTGTCACTACAAAGTCAAGCAGCTACAAAAGATGATATCATCACAGAAAGCACTCAAATGAATAGCAAATACTAGACAATATAGAGTCAATATAGAAGAACCAAATCTTGTCCACAAAACAGCAAGATATACAGCAACAAAAGTTAGATCACTAACATGCCAGTAGAGGATATATGGCACAATCATCATTAGTTAGAGAAGAAGACCAACATGTCACGAGCAACCATCATAATCAGATGTTGAGCAAGCTTATGTGATGAAGAAGGATGAAATAGAATATGTTAATAAAGTGGTCACCACATGTACGCTTGAATTAAGACCCTAGTCTGAATCTAATTAATCACATACAAATACACCCTGCCCTTGTATTGTGAACCTTGATGTATACACTATTCTGCAAAAGAAAAGGTACCTTATCATGGGAAGTGTGGAAATTAAAAAGTGAAGATTGGGGAAGAGTTTCTGCCTGATTTAATTCAATCAGAAGCCAGAGCTACCAAATTTTCATTTCAGCAAAAGGACTTACAGGTATAAGGTGGACATAGACAGTGTAAGGAGAAAGATGTCCATGAAACCCCAAACGAGAGGCAAACAGATCATGATATATTAGTTTACCCAAAAGGGAAAGAAATAGGAGTTATAATAATTATATATGCAAGCATTGAAGCCTCCATAGGAAAAAAAAAAAAAAGTGTGTTTCATATACGTGGGAGAAACCTACCTAATGCAACGGAGGGCTTGGAACTTTTTCTGCTTCACAGAAAATTTCAAGGCATTAGTTCCTTTCAGTGAATTGTGGATGTAGGCCAATGTGCCACTCAGGAAAATGCATTCCATATGCACTAAGCTCACTCCCTCTTATCTCCTCTCTCCTTTGATCTTGATAAAATAATGAAAGGGCAAGGCATTTAGTCCCTGTCAAAACGCTAGCGAATGTAGGCTGACACATCAAAGTCGATAAACAATCATTCTAATATGTGCTAGCTCTCTTTTTTTTTTTTCTAACTTCTAGTCTTGGTAAAAAAATATGGCCAATTGTAAACTACGGGAAGTGCAAATATTACACAATCACTGAAAGAGCAAAACAGCACCTACAACGTTAGCTGTAGAAGTCCATATAAAGCAACTTTTCAGCAGCATGCCTATTCAGAAGTATGCATCCCTCTCAAACACAAACTTAAAATAGCTAAAGTAGCATTTCTCGAGGCAGTTTATTCTCCTTCATAACCCAAACACTAAGTACCAAATACTTGGTCAAACTCGTGCCCTTAAATATGAGGCAGCTCTCATGTAGCTACATTTCCACTCTCCGCGCTGTTATCGGTCATCAGAAAAACTCATTCAGGAGATGTTTGGTTCACAAGCTACTTTAGGTTTTGAATAAGGAAGGAAATTAGGGCGGTATGGGTTGTGTCTAATTTTGTTTGAGAATGAACTTTCTCTCTTTAAACCCCATAACTTGGAGGATGAGGAATGGGATTAATTATAATTAGTAATTTTCTCAATCAAACGCAAGGTATGGGTTAAGCAAACTTACACCTCATACCTGAATTGCGTGAAGCAAGCACCCTGAAGCTAAGGCCTAAATTCCAACAAGAGAGAATTGTAAAATCATCTTTAGTATATCACAGCTACATGATGGACCAAATTTTTGTCCACCAAAACATCCATCCAGGCATGTGAGTAATGAGACATACATGAGGCTTGGTGTTTAAAAAAGATGCTAGGAAAAAATGCGAAGAAAACAATATAATTTTGATGGAATGCCTAAGGAAATTAGGGAGCGTGAGAGAGCGAGATAATTTCACATGTGGAAGTGTTCTGAAATTCCAAGCTCAATAAGCTGACCGGTCTAAATTCGCTTTCCCTAAATCTATGGAATATCCGAAACAGAGAATGTACTAATGTAACACTGTAGCTTAGATTTTGGATGATGAATCTTGAAATACTTGCTCCTCTTTCATGGTTTTTAGATGTAAGACAAGGGGGTGGCACAGTTTTATGCAATTTCAATGAGTTACCTTAGCTTTAATGTGAACAATGTGACTAAAGAAAAGAATTAAAAATATATCTTACATCAGCCACCAAAACTCCCAACTCAACCAATCCACCTCCGCGGCTCCGCCATACAATTTCCAACCACCGCCACCCATATTGCACTACTTGGTGGGTGCCAGAAAAGAGTAAACAAACTCTTTTTGCATCTGATTTTCCTGCTTCTAGTGGTGCCTGATTTTCTGGCACCGTTGAAGGTGGGTGCTGATGGTGGGCAGTTGGGCACCAAGTGGGGAAGGTGGGTTTTGATGAAAGTGAGGGTAGGGATCGGCAAATGCTTGATAATAGAAAGGATGACAATGGTGGATGCCCATGGTTTGCAAAGAAAATTGGAAGGTTGGAGATGATAAAGATCAAGGTGGGCTGGACAGGAGGATCAGGGTGACCGGTGACCGAAAGCTGGTATGGACATAGGGTATTACCACAGTATTTTTTTGAGGAACCAGTATAAATACAGTGCTGGTAAATCCAATAATAAAGAATACAAAATTGAGGAG